CCTGACCCAACTGCAAACAGGTATTTACTTCCTATTAACCTTTGTCAACACTGAACTTCTGAAGCCATTGTTTCCTCTGACGGCAGACATGCCTTTATTCATATTAGTTTTTCAGAGTGTGTTAGAGTTAAACACATATTTAGCAACAGCAAAAACAGCAGGGAGACAACAGCAGGAACCAGCAGACACTGCCTATGAGAGATGAAGCTCTTGAAATAAGTACCAGGATACAGTCTGCTTTGATTTCGGGCGTGAGCTTGAGTAATCCTAGCCCTTCACCCACTTCCAACCCATCGTCCCCCACTTTAATGACACAAATCTTAATTTATAGGAAGATCTTTTGCTTTTTTTGGAAAACAAATGTACGCTCAGATTCTAGGAGCCACTTTTATAATAGTGATTTCTGTGTTACACACTCTTACATGCGACAGACCGCTCTGCTGAGAGTCAGGCAACCTGGCAAGTTCGACTTCGATTCTAAACACTTACTACAAGTGCGTCCAGGTCAGACACTCAATTCCTCCTGGTCTTATCTAGAAAATGGGTATAAATACCTGCCCTTTCTTACCTGACATAATTGTCCTGAGGTTCATGTAAGAAAAGGTAGTTGTCAAGAGAAAAAAGCACTGTGTTCCTACCGGTGCTGTGGCAGAATTGCTCTCATAATATGCATGTTACAGTCCAATTCTTTCAGCTGAATCAGCTTCTTTGTTCATGCCTTAGAGAGCTGGCGGTATTGTATCCCCTGCTGTTAAAATGTGAATACATTAGGTCATTGGTTAAAAGAATAAGAACTATACTAGAAGCAATGCCTCTTTATGATGAAGGTAAAAATACTGAAATAAAAATTTTAAAGTCTTCAAAGATGAGGCAACTACCCTAATGCAGTAAGAGAATGACTTCTGTTTGTGCGCCCAAGGGGAAGGAAATAAAAATAATCCTAATCAGAATTTCTTGACCTTGACACTTTATGATCTGCTTCATCGTTTTGGTTTATTTACACTTCTGACTCCCGGGGCTCTCAGTGCCCTGGGCTCCTGGGACCCAATCTCTTGTACCTTCTCTTTACACCTTCCCCTGAGCAACACAAAAAACCTCCGATTAATGTCAGAAACTTAATTAACTGAATGTTAGCTGAAATCGATTTCAGAAAGTATTAACTGATCTACCTTTTAACTCTTAAACTACTTGTTTCCAACTGTAGTAAACGGTTTGGGCACCCTACAAAGGAATGCTGTGCATCTCAAATCAGATTTCTCTTTTTCTTCTGGGGAAGGGAGTGGTGGTAGTGATAATGGAGAGTATGATGGATAGAAAACGTTTATATTCTCATTAAGATAAGAAGGTTTTATGTTCTCACAGAATGGTTCTCAGGTACAAAAGAACGTATCCATTTTTCTATTTTGAACTCTTAGAGTAATGTCAATTCATAACCCATAGTTGATATTCGACTGATGTTTGTTGAAGTCAATCATCTTGTTTTGGATCTGTCAGGCTGACAGGAAGAAAGGGTCTGGTAGCATCCTCAGTCCCCTGAGATTTGTCCTTAGCTGGTCTCCCTGAGAACTCCTGAGATGGAGGCTTAGCCATGTCTGTGAATCCAAATCCATCCTTCAGTTCCCTGGCATTCTTGGATTTGGGTCCACACTTAACTTAGTATTTAATGTCTTCATATTGATGTCCTAGAATGCCTTAATATTATTTCTATTATTTCCACCCTTGGTTCTGGGGTTTCCATTAAAAAAAAAATTGTCACAGTGTACCTTCTTATTTCTTAATACTGAGCAACGAAGAAAAGATACAAAAGATACAAAATCCATCCTAACCAAGAAGTCCCTTCCATCAAGAGTTGTAAAACATTCTGTCCATGTGTTTGGAATTATCTTTTGACTTTAACATTTTGACTCTAACATTTCTTTTTTTTAATTTGAAGGAGAATTTTAGAAGTTTCCAAAAAAAAAGTAACTTTATCACCAAATCAGTAAACCATGTTACCAATTATTTTTTATTTGTATTGCACACAATATTTTACAGAAAAAAAATAAAGAACCCCTTATTGTTAAACTCCAATTAATTACATGTTTTCTTCTGATTCTTCTCAATGTAGATACCTAAATTTTTACATAAATATAATCAGTACATAAAATAATTTAACACTTTTGAATCTCACTTAACATTTGTTCATACAATTTTACATATAGCAATATCATTTAATGACTATATAACAGTCTACAACAGCAATACCAATACATCAAAATCTGCTCATCCATTTCCCAATTTGGGGCTTTTTTTTTTAAACCCATATGAATGAAATTGCTAGAAATATCTTTGTATAAGTAGCTTATTTTTCTTTTAAATACTTCCCTAGGCATATGCTATTCGAAGTGAGTTGATCTAGCAAAAAAAGATTGGTTACAGAGCTCTTGTTGTAATCATCTATATAATTCTTTTAAAAATTACTAATATAATAATGCTACTGACACGAAGATACGTGAATTTTAAAATGTTTTGCTGTATTAGCATAAGCTAGGTCAAAGTTGTTTCAATTTGCATTTTTAATACTATTTAAATCTGAATTATCATTCCAAGAATTCACTTTTATTTGTAGCTTCTCATTTGTACTCTATCTTTTCATTAATATGCTTAGTAAAGAGTAGAAAGCCTTATGGATTTGCATCTACTTTTTAAAAAACATTAAGCACTTTATTCATGTGTAATGCTAGCAGCTTTTTTTTTTAACCCAATCTTTTCATTTTCTTCCTGTTTGGTGTCCATTTTTCATTTTTCTTTAGTTGATCTCACCTACTTTCCCAATAATGTTTTTCACTGCCATAAAGTTTTTTTTGTACTGCTGGGATGAGAATTGTAGTCTTTTTATTTTTACCTTTATAATCAACGTTTTAATTCATCTGGAATGAATGGCCTTATCATATGTAAAGTGGGCCCGATTCTTTTTTCATACTGACATCCAGGCTAGTCTTTCCACCAGTAGTTATTTCATAATTACTTGTTTTTTAATTGGTTTGTCTTTAAATCCTAAACTTTCTAAATATACTATGATGCTGAGTAGGGAGTTTAAGGGCAAGACTCTCATCGTTTTCCCCTAAGTTAAAAAGACAAATGTATCTTTCCTTGCCTATTTTCCTACTTTACACAATTCTGTCAAATTATTCAAAGTATCAGTTGGAATGGTGAGTGGAAGTGTAATAAATGTATATATTAATGTCATCTAGGGGCATTCCTTTGGATAGGATTTCATACATATTACCTAACTTAATCCTCACAATAATTCGGCAAAGTATAGTTCTATAGATGGTGAAATTATCTTGATGGGTTTAAACCTAAAAATATACCCCATAAAACCACTTTATCACATTCAAAATATGCATAAATATTAAGACCAATTCACGACTTGTTTCCAGTAAGCTGTAAATTTCTTAAATCTTTTTCTCCTTTTCCTCACCTTTTAGCCTAGTAACATCTGCATTTCTTATAAACATGTTGTTCAGATCAAAAGATACTCTAAAAAGCATTACTTTGTCAAAACTTAGCCAAATTCTGCTGCCAGGAGCTCCACTGCTCTAAACTATATTTTTAATTAATCCTAATCTTCCCATTTCCCTGATGAGAATCAGCTGAGAGACCCGAGTCTGGAGCAATGCTGCACTGACTTCCAGGAGCATGTTTCCCCTCCCGCGGTACAGGCACTCTTATAACAGTTAATGTTAGAAGAAAGCCTAGATTCCACTGTTGGCTCTTCTACACGTACCAGACCCTGAGCAAATTATTAATAATTGTCTTTCTTCTTTAAAAATCTATTCACTATCAGCCTCACAGGGTTGTTGAGAAACTGTAATTAGAAAGCACAATAAGCGCCTAACACATAGAAATGCTCCATTCCAGAACAAAAAATTGGCTTAATGGGCTCTCTTCCTATAGGATTATCATTCTAAGGAACAGAAACAGGAGACTGAAGTGGATGGAGTTTACCTCTTCTCGCAACTCCACAGATATTCACAACTGTAGTACAACAGTTTTGGCTTCTGATGGTTCTAGAAAAAAAATGTTTCTGTTGTTTAGAAATCTATGGATGGTTTTGAGAAACCATCTGTAATCCCAGGTTAGAAATGCCTCACTCCATTTCTTCTTAGGAATTTCATAACAGCCAATCTGAAGTACCTTTTCCTGGGGGCAAGATACTTTTTCCTTTTGGCCTGAGTTAGAGTTGTTGGAAGTTCTTTTCTTTTAGGTGCCAGCACAGGGCTCTGCAGCAATTTTCTGAAGTATTAAATCAGAACTAACCTTACGCCCTAGATTTCCTTTGGGACAAACTTCCCAAGAATGAACTCTTCAATGACTAAATGAATTCTCCAGCACTTTCTGTAATCTTTTGATTGTGGTGGTGTCCCTGACTCATAGGTTAACAAGAGTCAAATGGGGGAACTGAACAGCAAAGTGGAACTGAACTGCAAAGTGTATTGTAAACACCAGACCTTGACAAATAAAGGAACATGCAAAGCTAATCTTCTAACAGTTGGCACTTGCGTAAGTTGCTATTGCTACCATCATGTCTATACATTGATATCATATACAAAACACCCACATAATTTACTGTGTAACTATTCAGAGGTGGTAGCAACTGTAATAACTGCAAAACTAATTAAAATATTCCTTAGGTATTATTGTTGTTATAGACAAATACAATCGGAAGATCATTAGTAGATATATATTACCTGCCATTAAGCACAGTTGCTAATATGGAACCCTCACTTATACACCCAATACTAAAATAAAGTTAACCTTGTCCAACAGTCAATCAGTTACTGATAGGTTAACAAAGACATCCAATGACTGATGTCTCAAACAGAACTAAAGACAACATCTACACAGCATCCATCATATAACCAGTTCTAATTACTCATATAGGAAACTGTCCTCTAAATGAAAATACTCTGATGCCAGGACGAAGGCCCAAAATAGCACTTCCAGTTTGCTTCTTCCTAGTTTTCAAGATGTTTCCCTGGGCTTTCTAGGTTTTTGCTTCCCTCAGAGGAGTCTAGTTTGGCCATGATTATGTTATTGGTTCCAGAAACCTCTGGTTGTTTATCATCACCATCAAAGATAATGTCTTCTGGATTTGGAGGTGGGGGACAGAATTCTTCACTTGGAAAGATCTCCCGGAACAGTGTTTCAGCTTGCTTGACCGCATGCTCATTTCCCAGTCCACAGTCAGGCCCAGAGCAGACATAAACATTGGACGGTAAGCCATTATATGAGCTTCTGCTGACTCCGGAGGAATCTCTCATATTAAAATAAAGAGCCCACAAGAGTCTTGGCTTTGTAAGTTCCTCCTCATTTATTGCTGCTTCAGTATATGGAGTGAATAGTTTCTTTACTACTGACTCTAAGTCTTCTCTTGCTGTTTTAGAGGAGGAACAGGTCAGATGTACCAGATAAGTGTCTTTCATGCATGTCATGGTTGAAGAACATAATTCAGTGACACGAACGGCACATGTTCCTGAGTCCGCTGGAGGCACTATCAAAATGGAAATTTGCTGATCTGAATCTGTCTTTAGTATAGATTGATCTGTAATGAGCACTGCCCTGGAGATCTGCTTATACTGTATATTTGAGCATGTTTTCTCAGAAAGGTAACTATCCTCCACAATAAAATATTTAGCATTTATTCTTTGACCTAAGTGATCTATAATTGCTTTACATCTTCCAGATTCTTTGTCAACTACAAGGCATTGAACTTTATGGCGAAGACAATAGATTCCACCAAAAACTGCACACATCCTGCAGAAACACTGGGGAATTTCTCCTTGGCCATATAAGGGAAATAAAAAGGGAGTGTTGCCAAACCGTCCAAGACACTGAAGGAAGTTTTTTGTTGCTTTAAGGCCATCTATTGTAGTGCAAGATGATTCTGTCATTGCAATGGAGTGCAGTACAAAATGCTGGAGGTTGGGGGTTAATTTTTTAGTTTTTAAGTACTCTGAAAATGAGCATTGCATGAAAGCTTGGTATTGGTCAGGATGTTGTTCATAGTCTAAACAAAATGTAAGAAATTTCATTAGTATCCTCTTTTCAACCATAGTGAGTTCTTTGCTATTGAAGACATCTGCTCTGGAACAAGGCACCTGTTCTACTTTTCCTTCTCGAAATGCAAGAATCCTAGTGACATTTTTAAATTCTGCATAACGACTAACATTTGATTTGATTAAAAGATCAATCAGCAACCCTTGAGAATACAGGAGCTTTGATACCAAATCAATATTAAACCTCCTGCTTTCTTTAACTATTTGAGAGTAAGTAATCCTCTTTCTCTTTAGTTGATCAGTGTTGTCTTCCTCTATAGGTTTGTTTTCATCTGTATCTCCACCTGAAACTGTGTGTCTACAAGTTTCATCTCCACAATATTTTTCTTCTGCCAAGGTGCCCTCTACACCACTTACTTCTAGTGAAATCTCTCCATCATTTTTTGGAATGTCTTTGGCAGGCATTTCGTAGCTAGTGACATATGAGTGTGTTTCTTCAGACAAGCATGCAGAATCCAGAGGTTTAGTGAGAGTACTAGATGTCAGTGAGGAAGGATTTTTCTGCAGAGCATCAGTCTCTTGAATTTTGTCATCCATATCCTGATTGGCGTAACAAAAAACTTCTGTGTGTTGAATGGTTTCATCCGTCTTGCGCAGAGTGATGGCTTCTTCTGTTTCATGAATCAGGCCTTGCCACGAGGCAGTACTTTCTTCTGCAACATCACTCTTTTGCTGGTACTCCTTCAACCAGGAGAGCAATCCTGAAAAGTTGAAACTTGCCCAGTTTCCTCCATAGTAGCTTCTTGAATCGAGATGCAGAACCCTCTGACCACTTCTTGAACACGCAGCTGCAAGGATGGATTCAGGCAGACCTGTCCCTATTATGATCACATCGAATTCTGTGGGGAGACTGTCCGCCATTCTGGAAGATAAAGCGTCTGCTGACAACTGCCGATAAAGGAAACACGTATGAGTCTAGGCTGAGGGCTCAGCTGGGACGTGAATGTGCCGTAATAAATCTCTCCTTGTGGTATTCCAGTTCATCCCAGAAGTACTGAGGCTGCAGGTCCTAGCTGTTTAACTGTCACCCTTTCTTAATACTGTTTTCCTTAGGTCAGTAGCATAAAAATATGATAAAATATATCTAATCACATCTGAGAACACTAAAACGGATGTGTGGTTTTCATTTCTGTATTTCATCTTAGCAGTAAATGTCAAAATGCATCACACATGCATTTGTGACTGGAACTCTTCTCTGAAAGAAGAAAATTCAAGAAAGAATACAATTGTAAACAATATTAAGAGAAAAGTAATTTCATGCAACAGCAATTACAATCCACTGGAGTCTGATTTGTTGTTAGGACATAAGCCTCTATGAAAGCAAGTCATTAAATGCTTTCTTACATATTTTCTAATTTCTTGAAAACAACAGAGATTTACCCCCCAAATTACATAATAATGAAGAGGGGACATCATAATGTCCCATAAAAATAAAGAACTTTCGTAATACAATTCTAGAAGTTTTGCTTTTCTTTTTTTAAACATATATATTTTTTTACATTTATTCACTTTTTGAGAGACAGACAGAGTGCGAACAGGGGAGGGGCAGAGAGGGAGGCACAGAATCTGAAACAGGCTCCAGGCTCTGAGCTGTCAGCACAGAGCCCAATGTGGAGCTCAAACTCATGAGCGGTGAGATCATGACCTGAGCTGAAGTAGGATGCATAACCAACTGAGCTATCCAGGTGCCTATAAGTTTTGCTTTTTCTAATACTAATATCTGAATAAAACTATACAGAACTGTGAGCTTAGACTATAAGAAATGCGTGGTTCCACCTGTTTATGGAAACAGACTACATACTATGTGCACATTGTCATGACGAGGAATATTTCTGTGGCCAATTTAGTCAGTGGGTGTTTTTAGAACAGCTGAATGAAAGACATTTCCGTGCCAAAGCCTCCCGTAGGATCTCGTGGTAGCATCATGAGACTATTTTAGTGAATTAACCAGATTATTGCAAAGGGATTAATTCAGTGAAACAACCAGCATTTTGAAATATTTAGGTGCATAAAAGGTCTACTGAAGGGAACATGCATTTATAACAAATCTTTATATGAACGTACATACACACGTGTTTTTAGGTGTAAGTTAAAAAGGAGAATTTCTGCCTTTCTAAGTTAAAATATATTTATATAAATAATACCTACTTGTGAAATCCAAGTGAGCATGAGGTGGCTTGCATTTTGCCAGCCTCTGGCTCTGTGACCCTGAATCTCTGTATCCCAACATAAAGGCCTATCTAAACATCCTCTGCTAAGATTAATATGTTATTTGGATTTTTGGAGGGGGTGGGAGGTGGCAGTGAAGAAACCACCCCCCACCCCCCCCGTTAACTTCTGGCATAACGCTGGTTATACACCATGCACAGAACATTTGTGTGGCTAAAGGGGCAACAGCGAAGGGGGTGTAAGGCATACTGCCCTGGCAGTTTTCAGGCTGACACACTACATATACACCATGTGATGTCTCAGCCGTCATCGTCATCGTGCAGCTAGAGGGGGCGTTCTTTGAGCACTAATGTTCCCTACCAGTACACTCACTGAAATCTAGATCAGTACTAAATGGGCCTGCCTAGGCTAAGATGACAAATTACCTTGGACATTTGTAAAACAAGCCATTCGACCGAAAATTGGATTAAATCGACTAGTTCACTGAATGGACTGGTCAGTTTAAGTGAAATGGCGATCTTAACAGTCCTGTCTCGTCAAAGCCTCTGCCTCAAGAATATCAGGGATTCTACTTGCTGTCAGCATTCCCTGAAAAAACAGGAACTGAGCGGTGAAATGAGGCAGCCGCCCAGCCTGTTCATACATGTGTGTATGCATTACTTACCCTGCTTTCTCCCAGCAGGGTGTGCAGAGGAAGACAGAACCCAGGAAGGTATATGAGGAAGTGTAACCACACCATGTGCTTATTATTGGCTTAGGAGACAGAGCAGAAGATACAAAGCATAAGTGCTAAAACCAGGCGCCTTCTAACCCACAGATGTCCAAAGAGTCCTCAAAACGCCAAGCACATAGGACAGAACCACCTTAAAGAACATTTAGCTCACTCCTCCATGACATAACAAAACTGATGGCGGGAGAGTTTAGTGACTGGGAAGCTCCATACAATCGGTTAGCCAGGCGACAGAGCAGAACCCACTCTCGTGTCATCAGGCCAGTGGGCTTTCCACTTGATACGGCAGTGGAAACAAGCAGCCACTTTGGGAATTTTTAAATTTCCTCCCCCTACAACACTCCATGTTAGTTCTTGCTCAGGGAGAATGGGGGGTGGGGGGATGTACCCTCCCTTTCTTCGACTTTAACTCTTATCTAGGAGCACAATCCTTGGAATTTACTTCACGCAAAGAAATTCTTAATCCTGGCTAAGAACTTTTTAAGTTCTATCATAACTCCACTGTTGACTTGTCTCCCAGGGCTTAAACAAGTCTCTGAATCTCTTAGCCCAGAGTTTCCACCTCTAATTTAAAAACAGGGATAAAGTCATGGTCGAAAGCGTAACTGTATGCGCAGAGAAACACAGAAGTCAAAACACCATGTGGTGAACGTTTCTACCAGTTTTAGATAATCCCTTCTGACTAGGATGGGACCTGAGCAGGGAGAGGAATGAAGGAGGAAAAAGCAATGAAGAGAAGGAGACGCAGCAGCAGAGTGAGGTCACAGAGAGGAGATAAGGAAGAGGGAGAATGCTAGCACTAATAAAGAACTCCACACACCCTGTTTTTAAAGCCCCAGGCACAAAGTCCAGGTAGAAACAGAACTTCCCAGCACATAAAGAGCGCTTCTTGGAAATAAGAAATTTCATGTCTGTGATCAAACACCTGTTGCCCATCTCAGGGAGCGTTACTGATGATACTTCACAATTAAGCTTCGATCACCCTCTTTCTGAAAACTTAGCCTGCCTAAAAAATTGCCTGGCAGGTATTTTAAATATAAATAATATAATCACCTAGCCATCTATATTACCACCTACGTACACTTAACAGCCCCCTCCCAAGTTTCAAATCTTTGTATAAATGAAATTCTCACATTAATGCTTATTGAGGAGGGGGGAAGTAGTATTGGAATATTAGAATCACTGAATCAATCAAATAAATGAAATCATGATTTCTATTACTTTTTTTCTGGTTTCCTTTAAAATACCAAAGAGTGAGTTATATCAAATATTTGGGTTTGCCACAACATAGGAGATTGGTGAATAAGAAAATTTCTGATAATGCTGCAAAGATTTTGTTCTCAAAAACCTGCCAAGATAAAAGCAGTCATAAATTATCAATACATTTCAGGATTTTTTTTTTTTTTAAGGAACTTTAAGACCTGAGAAATACACATTCTCATTTCACAGCCTGTACAAATGAAATGCCTGGAGCACACACAAAAAGGTACTTGCCAAGCTTAGAAAATCATGTCCTCAACGATACATTGGGTAGATCATCCTTCAAAATGTCAAGTCTCAGTGAGACTTGAATCTTCCACAGGATTAGGAATATGGTTGAAATGAATCTTCATTTTGACAATCAAGTTCTACTTTAACGAAATCTACTGGCTGCACAGCTAATTATTTGTCCATCTAGGGTGGGATTCTCAGAGCCAGATGTAATCTCACCTTAGATTTTGGTGTGCTGGAACCACTAAGGAGGTAAAATATAGTAAAAATAGCTTATGAGCCACAAGTCAATTTGCATTCTGAAGACCTGAATGAAGCTCTTTCACTTCCTAGGAAGCATTCAAAGGTTTACATCTGCTAATGAGCAAAATTAAAGAAAAGAAATACACACTGCCACTCGGCTACATTTCTACTTCTCATTTTAGAAAACAGTATTGAGTGAATTAAATCTCTTCTCATCCCCCTCTCCAGCTTTCATGAGTTACTTTTTCTTGAATCTGTTGACTCTACAGCCCCTCGTTTCTTTCCTCAAAGTGTAAAGCCGCCGTTTCGTGGCCTGTTGAATTATATCGGGAGGTGAAAACAGAGAAATGAGATGAACTGGACAGTGGCTGGAGGGAGCTGGGAAGGAGCTGGGGCTGAAGCCGGGCCGGCTGCGTTGCAGAGGGGCGGCCACAGGCACAGAGCCGGGGCCGCCGCAGGCCGAGAGGAGGTGAAGGAAGGAGGAAGGAAAAGCCATGCGGCGCGGGGCGGACGAGCGGAGGCGAGGCCGGCGCGGGAGCTGAACCGCAGGGCGGGCTGGAGGGGAGGCCGCGCGGGGAGGAACTGGGAGTGGGCTGGGTGGCGAGGGGACGCGCAGAGACGGTGGCAATGCAGGGAACGGGAAGTTTTCAGAGGGGAGGATGCTTTCCTCCCAGCCCAACTCACCGAAAAGGCTGCTGCTAAACCCGTCCCACACGCAGCCCACGGTGTCCCAGACCCAGCCGTTCCTCAGGCAGGACACGAAGGTAAAGGTGACCCCGAAGAGGGACACCAGCAGGTCGCTGAGGCTGATGTTGACCAGCAAGAGGTGGGTGGGAGTGCGGAGCCGCTGGAACTTGTAGTAGAGGACAAGCACCAGCAGGTTGTTGCCGACGCCCAGCAGCCCGATAGAGCCAAGAAGCAGCGCCAGGCGCTCATAGGTGCCCGGGCTGAACAGCGGCGCGGGGCTGAGCGTCCCCGCCGGTCCCGGCCCCTCGGCGCCCGCGGCCCCGCCGCCCTCCCAGTGGCCCTGGCCGCCGCTACGGTTCCCCGAGTACATGGCCCGGCGCCGGCGCGCTCGGCGGCCGCGGGGCTCAGCCTCCTGCGCGGGCCGCGGCACGCTCCGCACTGGGTGGGGCTCGGGCTCCACCGCCCGCCCCGGCCATTGTGCGCGCCAGGACCTCGACACGTCACCAGAGGCCGCCCTCCTCCGCCCCTTCCGCCCGGCCCGCCACTGTAGTCCCGCCCCCTACCCCGCGCGTCGCGTTCCCGCCTCTCCCCGCTCCCCCGAGGCCCCGCCCCCTTCCCCTGGGCGCTCTCCTGTAGCCCCGCCCCTATCCCCCGCGTCGTGCGTTCCCGCCGATCCCCACACCTCTAGCTCCCTCTCGTAGCCCCGCCCTCTTCCGCGCCGCGCGCCCGTATAGCTCCGCCCCCTACACTCCCGCCCCTCAGAGCGTCTAGTTCCCTGCGGCTCTGCGCGCTCTCAACCTCCTCATAACCCCGCCCCCTCCTTCTGGCGCTTTGCAGCAGCTCACCTCTGGCGTATCCTCTGCTTTGCTCGCTTCTGGGGCTCCAGACTCTCCTTCCTGGCCCCAGCACCCACTGCCCCAGCGTGTGCCCGCACTAGTGGACTGCAGTAGGCGAGCAGCGAGGAGAAGGCAGTAGGGAGGCAAATCCACCGCAGTGGCTCCGCACATCCCATCTCCCTGCACCCAGCTTGAAAGCATCACACCCATGCACCCAATTCACTCGTGCATTTTCTCGTTTATAAACATTTATGAGCGCCTGCGCCTAACACAAGCTAATGAGAGGGTAGGTGAGGGCCTCCCATCTTGGGTTTCTCACCATCCCAGGAAGCTGTAATAACTTACTGCTAGCCCGCAACATTACTCTCATCTCACACAGGTAAGTGAGCCCCAGGCTGGACCCCTAGGCCCGCCATCGTTGTCCTTCCTGTCCTGTTACTGAGGCCTGCCAAAGCTCTTCACTGGTGGTGACCATCCAGGCTGTGCTCTCAAAGCTCCAACCTAAATCTAGCTGCTATAGAGAGGTAGGTGCTATATTTAGAACACACATTTTCCACTTGGCCTTTTCCCCAGTAGCCATGAAAATATAGTACAAGTCAAATATAGGTTGTGAACGTGATCATAGTCTGCGAGGGCTGCACCGCTGTCCCTGCACAGCCTCTAACAAGGTCCCACAGGAGGACCACAGTCCTGAGCCAGACCTGAAGGTGGCCCTGGGTGCTGGTGACAAGCACAGTGTGGAAGGGCAAAGGAATTGTCCTCTATGAGGGTGTTTACCCCTTCTACCCCTGTTCAAAAGACCAGTAGAAAATCACTAGCTTCACTGAACCCCCATCCTAAATTCCCTGGAAATGCAGAACCAAACAGGGCGGGGTGATCTCTCCACCCTGGTGCATTGAGCAGTAGCTGGGGGGGGGGGGGGGGGGGGTTCCGCCCTCAAAACCTTGATTTGCCTTTAAAGATTCCAATCTGGACCTTTAAAAAATTCATCTAATTAAAAAATTTTTTTTAATCTTTATTTTTGAGAGAGAGAGACAGCATATGAACAGGGGAGGAGCAGAGAGAGAGGGAGACACAATCTGAAGCAGGCTCCAGGCTCTGAGCTGTCAGCGCAGAGCTTGATGCGGGGCTGGAACCCACGAACTGTGAGATCATGACCTGGGCCAAAGTCGGACACTCAACTGACTGAGCCACCCAGGCGCCCCTCATATAATTTTATATTTTAGATGTATGCAAACATTTAACAAGTTCTAGATGTTTAATATGTTTAATGTTCACTATGTTTTCATCACACTTCCTATCTAGTCTACAGTAAGTTCTCAATAAATATTTGTTGAATGAATAAAGGGCTCACTATATTTTTTTCTAAAGCCTTCATTCATTCATTCGTTCGTTCATTGGTGCTGAGTCCCTGCCCTCACAAAGCTTACATTCTGGTAGTGCTGGGATAGATAATAACCAAGTAAGTACATGTGTAGTGTGTCAGATGCTGATATGTGCCATAAAGAAAACATAAGGCAGAGAAAGGGTATGGGGAAGAGAGCGCAAAGATTATTTTATACAAATGGTTATGGATACATGCTAAGTTCTGCAGGCACAGGGAGCATGTACTGGGTTAGGACTGTTCGTAGCATTTTGGAGGAAAAACAAGGAAACCAATGTGGCTGGAGCAGAGGGGAATTAAGAAATGAGGGCAGAAATATGGGTGACCAGTGACTGGGCAGATCATGCAGGGCCATGGCCATTTTGGGAAACCTATATGGAAGAAGAATAATAGCAAGGAAGGAAAAAGAGGAGTAAGAGGCTTTTGGCAAATGCGTAAGGATTTTGATAGAGTCATTATTATAATACTATTAACTGCTAAAGATATTTATTGTACTCCACAGAAGCAGACTAATACCAGAAATATGATTTATATTGTCAATAATGATGTATATTTTTATTTATTTCCAGAAGTATGTTATGATAGGAGATGGCAAAATACCACACCTTAAAAAGCAAGTGCGTAAGGACAGACATAGACCAAGGGAACAGAATAAGCAAGTGCATAAGGACAGACATAGATCAATGGAACAGAATAGTCAAGATATAACCCTTCACGTATATGGTCAATTGATTTTTGACAAGGCTGTCAAGACCATTCAATGGGGAAAGGAAAGTCTTTCCAACAAATGGTGGTAGGAAACCCCGATGTCCAAATGCAAACAAAAAACAAACAAAAAAATCAAGTTGGACCCTTCTCTTATACCATTTAGAAAAATTGACTCAAAAAGCAGCAAACCACTAAACTTAAACACTAAAACTGTAGAACTCTTAGAAGAAAACATAGGAGAAAAGTCTTCATTGCATTGGCTTTGGCAATGATTTCTTCAATACGGCACCAAAGGCATAGGCAACATAAGAAAAAATACATAAATGAACTCCAACAAAATTTAAAACTTTTGTGCATCAAATGACACCATCAAGAGAGTGAAATGACAGTCAATAAAATATTTGTGAATCATAGATCTATGAAGGATTAATATATAGAATATAAAAAGAACTCCTGCAACTCAACAATAACAACAACAACAAACCCCAAGCAACCCAATTCAAAAATGGGCAAAGGACTTAAATAGACATTCCTTCAAAGATATACAAATGGCCAACAAGTGCATAAAAAGATGCTCAATATCATTAGTCACTACAGAAATGCAAATCAAAACCACAATGAAATATCACTTCACACCTGCTAGAATGGCTATTCTCAAAAAGTAAAAACTAAAACAAAAAATGGAAAATAATAAGTGTTGGCAAGGATGTGGAGAAATTATAACCCTGGTGTGCTGCTGCTGAGAATGTAAGATGGTGTAGCCACTATGCAAACTGTGTGGCAGCTCCTCAAAAAGTTAAGCATGGAATTATCATATGATCCAGTAATTACATATATCTATCTATCTAATCTCCAAAAGAATTGAAAGCAGGGACTTCAACAGATATTTGTACACTGATGTTCATAGCAGCCAAAATGTGGAAATGAACCACATGTCCATTATCAGACAAATGGATAAACCAAATGTGGCATAAAATGGAATTGTATTCAGTCTATAGAAAGGAATGAATTTCTAGTACATTACAACATGGATAAACCTTGAAAAAATTATGCTAAGTGAAATAAGTCAGACACAGAAGGACGAATATTGTATGATTCCACTTACATGTGGTACCTAGAATAGGCAGATTCATGGAGATGGAAAGTCAGGGGCTGAGGACTGAGGTGGGAGGAATTGGGAGTTAGTGGTTAAGATCACAGAGCTTCAGTTTGGGATGATGAAAAAGTTCTGAAATAGACAGTGGTGATGGTTGCATGACATTGTAAGTATGCTTCAAGCCACTGACTTGTGTACACTTTTATGTTATGTATATTTTCACAATAAAAAAGTAGATGCAAATTGTGCCTGCATTTCTCAGAGTAGGAAAAGGAAACAGATGCAACCAGTTTATTGAGCAAGCCGGACTCAGCAGGTGTAAGCAGAAAGTAACTTTACTCCCTCCCATTACTGATTTCAAATGTCTTCTCTGCACCTGTTCTTTAACTGCCTTTGAATGATATTTTATGAGGTTCCAAAGCCTGTCTTCCTTGATTGGTAAAGTTGTCATCTGATGTTGGCACCCTCAGATTGTGGCAGATTTTAACTGCTGTCATTTTCTAGGGTGATTCGTGGGTTCTTTTGAGGACCTGAAGTGACAGAGATCTTTCTCTCACAAGTCCCTTGACAGAGGTAATGCCTTTGCCAGCTGTCTGCTTGCATCTCCACCTAGGACCCTGGTTAGGGCCCCCAGACCCTGCAGGCAGTCTTCTCCAGTAGGGGCCCTCAGAGTCTAGCATCTGCTCCTCTCGCAATGTATGCATTCTAGTCACACCAAATTCTGGGTGTGGACTGCTGTGGAGAACTGGCCAGCCTCAGTTTCTCCCCTCTGGTGTCCACTGGGTAGAAAGAAATCGAGAAAAGTCTCGGCCCTTTGACTGCTCTGAAATTCCAAGGAACTGTTAACTAGTGCTCTCCTCGATCTCCTAAGAAACTACCTTCTCTTCAGTAGTTTGAAGGTGAGAATGAGCTACTACCTGCAGAACTGGCTTCCCAGTATCTCTGTGCATCTTCCTGCATGGACTGTGCAGCCCTGTCCTTTAGAATGGGGGAGTTCTTCAGTTGTATTGTGGGGCCCCTTCCAAGGCATCAAGGGGTCCATTTTAATATCTTCCTACAGTGGAGCATTAAATCATCCATGTCCCTATATTCCAAGCAAATCCTTTATAAAATACAAGGGGGCAGTGAGGGGGAATGGAGACATGTTTTATCTGTCATTCTTGCATGGGATCACTGATAACCCCCAGCCTTCCGCATCATACACATGTCATGTGAGAGGGAACTTCAACACTTGCACAATCAAGTAAACTTCCAAGGACTGGGATGCATGCTTCCCTACTCTCTCTAACCTTGGTCCCTGGTGGGAAACAGAGCCCTTACAGAAATATCTTGCCACCTTTTGGGAT